GTGTGTGTTAGTGTGTGTGTGTGTAGTGTGTGTGTGTGTGTTGTGTGGTAGTGTGTTGTTGTAGTGTAGTGTGTTGATATGTAGTGTGTGTGGTAGTGTGTTGTGTGTGTGTGTGTGTGTAGTGTAGTGTGTGTGTGTAGTGTGTAGTGTGTGTGTGTGTGTGTGTGTGTGTGTGTGTAGTGTGTTGTGTGTAGTGTGTGTGTGTAGTGTTGTGTGTGTAGTGGTGTGTGTGTAGTGTGTGTTGTGTGTGTAGTGTGTGTGTGTGTGTGTGGTGTGTGTGTGTATGTGTGTGTGTGTGTGTGTTGTGTGTGTGCAGTAGGTGTGTGTAGTGTGTGTGTAGTGTAGTGTGTAGTGTAGTGTGTGTGTGTAGTGTGGTGTGTAGTGGTGTGTGTTAGTGTGTGTTTGTGTTGTAGTGTGTGTTGTAGTGTAGTGTGTGTGTGTAGTGTGTGTGTGTGTAGTGTGTGTAGTGTAGTGTAGTGTGTGTGTGTAGTGTGTGTGTGTAGTGTGTGTGTGTGTAGTGTAGTGTGTGTGTGTAGTGTGTGTAGTGTAGTGTGTGTGTGTGTGTGTGTAGTGTGTTGTGTAGTGTGTGTGTAGTGTGTGTGTAGTGTGTGTGTGTGTGTGTAGTGTGTGTGTGTAGTGTAGTGTGTAGTGTGTGTGTGTGTAGTGTGTGTGTGTGTGTGTGTGTAGTGTGTGTAGTGTAGTGTAGTGTGTGTGTGTAGTGTGTGTGTGTAGTGTGTGTGTGTGCGTAGAGTTCTGGGTTGAGGTAAAGAGAACGAGTTGCTCGATCCTTACCCCTGAAAATCAAACATCACCTCCAGTTGGTCAGTGCAGATATCATCAGAGCCGCATTGCTTCTTAAACAGCAGCTAATAATAAATAATAATAAGAGAGAGAGAGTGTGAGAGAGGGAGAGAGAGGAGGTAGAGGGAGGGGAGTGTGTAAGACAGAATGAGAGAGGGAGAGAAAGAGTGCGTGTGAGGGAATGAGACTCTCTCACCCTCTCTTTTTCTCATCCTCCCCTCTCTCTCCCTTCCCCCTCTCTCTTATCCTTACTCTTCCTCTCTCTCATCCTCTACCTCCCTCTTTCGCCCTCTCCCTCCCACTCTCCTGCATTCCCTCATCCTCTCTCGCTCTCTCTCTCGCCCTCTTTTCTTCTCTCTGTCTCACTCTCTCTCATTCACTCAATACCCCACCGCCCTTTCTCTCTCTCCCTTTCTTGCTCTATCCCACATCTCACTCCCAGTCCCTCACCATCTCGCCCCCTCCCTCCCATACTATGACTCTCTCTCTCTCTCACCCTGTCCCTCTCTCTCTCACTCTCTCTCCCTGACTCCCCCTCTCTCTCCCACTCTTGCTCTCTCCTTCCCTCTCTCTGCTTCCCCCACTCCTCCCTTCCGTGTTATCTCTCCCTCTCTGCCCCTCTCCCCCCCACTCTCTCCCCCATTCTTTTTCTCTCGCTCCTTCTCTTGTTCTCTTCCCTCCTCTCCCTCCCTCTCCCCTGTCAGTGCCTCCCTATGTAGACGGTGCAGTGTAAGCGCAGGTTATTGTGGCTGAAACCTCACCGTGCCTGTTGGGTGATGTTTTCACCCCCTTTCATCACAGGGATCAGATTCCGTTGACCTGAGATCTTCTCTCCTGTCACCGAGGCAGCCACATGCAACAGAATGGGATTCAGGCTGTCCAGGATACAAGGCTAGGAGAGAGAGAGAGAGAGAGAGAGTGTGAGAGAGAGAAATTCCCTTCTCGTTCCCCTTCGACAGCGCCGTGGGAGACCTTTAACGTTCGCCTGAGCAGGCGCGGATGGGGAGTGAGGTTGAACATCTCTTCGGTGTCTCTGACAATGCGTCTCTCTCTCCGTCTCTCTCTCTCTCTCTCCCCAGCGCTGCGATGTAGCATCTGTTTAGGCTGTGTGATTCCAGCTATAAAGTCATTGACGTGTGGGGCTCAAACCATAACCTTCTGACTCGGAGGCCAGAAAGCGAGCAACTAAACCAGGTTGACCCACAGTGACTGAGCCGGGCTGACACACAGCGACTGAGCCGGACTGACACACAGCGACTGAGCCGGGTTGACCCACAGCGACTGAGCCGGGCTGACACACAGCGACTGAGCCAGGCTGACACACAGCGACTGAGCCGGGTTGACCCACAGCGACTGAGCCGGGCTGACACACAGTGACTGAGCCGGGCTGACACACAGCGACTGAGCCGGGCTGACACACAGCGACTGAGCCGGGCTGACACACAGCGACTGAGCCAGGCTGACACACAGCGACTGAGCCGGGCTGACACACAGCGACTGAGCCGGGCTGACACACAGCGACTGAGCCGGGCTGACACACAGTGACTGAGCCGGGCTGACACACAGCGACTGAGCCGGGCTGACACACAGCGACTGAGCCGGGCTGACACACAGCGACTGAGCCGGGCTGACACACAGCGACTGAGCCGGGCTGACACACAGCGACTGAGCCGGGCTGACAGAGAGCGGACTTTAAATCTCATGTGGAAGTGGTTTCCATTGAGTCACAACAAAAGGGATTTTAATCTCCAACTGAGCATTCCCTGGTTGTCCTTCCGCAGTGAAGCACTGTATAAATGTACATTGTCATAGAAGGAGGCCATTCGGTCCATCAACTCTCTCTGTGTAAAAAAAATTCTCCTCATCTCCCCCTCTGGTTCTTTTGACAATTATCTTTCCTCTATGTCCCCTGATTACTGCCAGAGGAAACCGTTTCTCCCTATTTACTCTATCAAAACCCCTCAAAATTTTGAACACCTTTATTTAACCTCCCCTCAACCCTCCCTAGTCTAAGGAGAACAATCCCGGTTTCTCCAGTCTCTCCGTATAACTAAAGTCCCTCATCCCTGGTAACATTCTGGTGAATCTTCTCTGATCCCTCTCCAAAGTCTTGTTATCCTTCCTAATGTGCGGTGCCCAGAATTGGACACTATACTCCAGCTCAGGCCTAACCAGTGACTTAGGTTTAACAGAACTTCCTTGCTTTTGTACCCTACGTCTCTATGTAGTGACTGTATATTTTGTGGGCGAAACGTGGCAGCCAATTGCGCACAGCAGTGTCCCACAAACAGTCGTGGATTGAGAGACCAAATTTGTTTTGGGGGAAGGGATTACTCCTGGAAAGCGATGCGCCAATCGACTAACAACTGGTTCCTACTGACCTGCTGGGTAAACAGAGGCGTGTGGAGTACGAAACTTGGCAAAGGTTTTGCCCCGGCCGGGAATCGAACCAGGTCCTCTGGTGCTCTAACCACCGAGCTACAGGACTCCTGGCTTGTACCTTGACGTTTATCTGGGTTTTTACACAGGCCTCTTTCCTTCCTGTATCAACGGACTGTGTCCGCTCCTCTGACTCCCCAGTTCTGCTCGCTGGATTTTTCGGGCGATGTCCAGAGCCAGCTGATAGGAGATTTTGACATTGAGATTTCCTGTTTACACAAGGCAGACATTTTATACCAGCACCCAGCAAAACGTTCAGCTTCTGTCTGCAATCCTCACTCCCTCCATCCCCCCTCCCTCCCTCTCTCCATCCCTCCCACTCTCCATCCCTCCCTCTCTCCATCCCTCCCTGCCCCCCTCCCTCCTCTCTCCATCCTCCCACTCTCCATCCCTCCCTCTCTCCATCCCTTCCTCACTCCCTCTCCATCCCTCCATCTCTCCATCCCTCCATCCCTCCATCCCTCCTTTCCTCCATCCCTCCCTCACTGCCTCTCCATCCCACCCTCTCCCATCCCTCCTCTCTCCATCCTCCCTCACTGCCTCTCCATCCCTCCCTCATTCACTCCATGCCTCCCTCAATCCTTCACTCCATTCATCCTCCCCTCACCTCACCCCCTCTCGATCCCTCATTCCCTCCCTCCCTCTCTCATTCCCTCCCTTCATCTCTCCTTCTCTCCTTGCTCGTTTGCTCCATCTCTTTCCATCCCTCCACCATGGGAAATATCTAATTCCATTCCCAAAAAAAAGAATAAAAGGGACGACAGGAGAGAGAGATAGAAAAAGAGACCAAGAGAGAAAGAGAGGAGATGGAGAGAAGAGAGGAGAGATGTATAAGAGAGAGCAGATGGAGAGGAGAGAAAAGAGAGGGAAAGAGGAGGGAAGAGATGGTGAGAGAGAGGAGAGAGAGAGAGAAAGAAAGGAAGATAGAGAGGTAGACAAAGAGAAGCTGTAAGAGAAAAGTCAGGGAGAGAAGAGAGAACAAGAGACAGAGAGAGGTAGAGAGAGGAGAGAAGAGAGAGAACAAGGTAGAGAAGAGAGAGGAGGAAGGTGGGGAGAGAGAGGAGAGGGGAGGAGGAAGAGAGAAGAAAGAGATAGACTGAGAGGGAGGAGGAGGAGGAGAAGAGAGAGAGACAGAGTGAGAGAGAGACAAAGGTAGAGAGAGGAGAAAATAAAGAGAGAAAGAGTAGAAGAGAGGAGGAAGATGGGGGAAAGAGAGAGGTGATGGAGAGAAGAGAGAGACTGAGACTGAAAGAACGATGGAGAGAAGGGAGAGACTGAGAGGTAGAGAGAGAGAGAGGAGATGGAGAGAAGAGCGAGACTGAGTAGAGAGAGAGAGAGAGAGCGAGCGAGAGAGAGACTGGGAAGGAGATGGAGAGAAGAGAGAGACTAGAGAGTAGAGAAAGAGAGAGAGAGGAGTGACACAAACCTAGTGTGTCGGGATGTCTTTATGATGGTGAAGCAGACATTGGCGGTTACTGGTGTGCCCTGCGCTGCGGGGGCCGAACACCCATCGTCCAATGGGCTTATATTGTCAGGAGTGAACGTCACCGTGACCTTCAACTGCAGCACTGGCCGAGAACTGGGTACACACACAACATCCAGCGTGTCACACACACAACATCCAGCGTGTCACACACACGACATCCAGCGTGTGTCACACGCACGACATATTATTATTATTATTATCCAGCGTGCGTCACACACACGGCATCCAGCGTGTTTCACACACACGGCATCCAGCGTGCATCACACACACGGCATCCAGCGTGTTTCACACACACGACATCCAGCGTGCATCACACACACGACATCCAGTGTGTTTCACACACACGACACGGCATCCAGCGTGCGTCACACACACGGAATCCAGCGTGTTTCACACACACGACATCCAGCGTGCGTCACACACACGGCATATTATTATTATTATTATTATCCAGCGTGTTTCACACACACGACATCCAGGGTGCGTCACACACACGGCATCCAGCGTGCGTCACACACACGACATCCAGCGTGCGTCACACACACGGCATATTATTATTATTATTATTATCCAGCGTGTTTCACACACACGACATCCAGTGTGTGTCACACACACGACATCCAGGCATTCGGCCCATGGTGTCTGCGCCGGCTCCTAAAAGAGCAATCTAACTCAATCCCACTGGACCGCTTTCTCTCCACAATCCTGTCCTCCCCAAATACCCATCTACTTCTGTCTTAAAAGTTGTTATTGAATTGGGTTCCACTACCCTTTTAGGTAATGCATTCCAGATCCCAACATCTCACTGGGTAAAAAAACCTCCCCGCTGTTTCTTTTAACAACTATCTGAAATCGGTGTCCTCGGGTTACTGACCCACATACCAGTGGAAACAGTTTTTCCCCATTCAACCTGTCAAATCCTGTCATGATCTTGAAAATCTCTATTAAATCCCCTCTTAATCTTCTCTGCTCGAGGGAGAATAATCCTAGTTTCGCTAACCTCTCCTCATAACTAAGGTCCTTCATTCCTGGGACCACTCTGGTAAACCTCCTTTGCACCCTCTCCAATGCCCAAACATCTTTCCTAAAGTGCGGTGCCCAGAACTGAATGGAGTCTCCAACTGAGGACTAACAGCATTTTATAAATATTCAACATAACCTCCTGACTTGTGTATTCTATGCCCCATTTATGAAGCATCGTATCCCATATGTTTTCTTAACAGCTTTATCTACCTGTCCGGCCACCTTCAGAGATTTGCTTATGTGGACCCCCAGGTCTCTGTTCATTTGTCTCCTTTAAGATTGTACCATCAGCTTATACCGCGTCTCCTCATTCTTCCTACCAAAATGCAACACTTCACATTTCTCCTCATTAATTCTCATCTGCCACGTTTCTGCCCATTTTACCAATCTGTCTAAGTACTCTTGGAGTCTGGTGCTGTCCTCCTCACTATTAACTACTTTTCCTGGCTTAGTATCATCTGCAAATTTGGAAATTGTGCTCCTTATATCCAGATTCAGATCATTAATATAGATCAGAAAGAGCAGTGGTCCCAATACCGACCCCTGAGGGACACCACTACACACCTCCCTCCAGTCAGAAAAGCAACCACTCTATGCTTTCTGTCGTTGCCTGTGTTCCTCTGGGTCTGGCCTCCTCCTCATCCCCTGAGTCCTCCACTCCACCCTTGGCGGCCGTGCCTTCAGCCACTATGCCCCGAGGCTCTGGAACTCCCTTCCTATTCCCTTCGTCTCGCTCCCTCTCTTCCTATTTTCAGGTCTCTGCTAAAGACCTTTCTGTTCGACTGCGCCTTTGGTCACCTTCCTCCACCTCCCCGTGCCTCTGCCCCGGGATCCGTTACTGTGAAGCTCTCTGAGACGCCATCCGGCATGGAGGGCGCTATATAAATCCAAATTGTTGTTGCTTTGTACAGGGGAGTAACATTTGCAACCTTCCAACTTGTAGTCAGTTTAGCCCCAAGGAGGAAAGGTACAGGTTATAATGAAGGGGTCAGGATCTTAGTCTCACCGAAGGATGAAAAGATGGTCCAAAGCCCCCACGCTGATGTCAGTCAGATTATCCCCAGTCAGGTCCAGAGAGCCATCGATAGAGCGTCCAAAATATCTCAACTTTCCATCAATGCTGCTCCCTTCAACACGCTGTTAACAGCAAAAACCAGCACATCAACTGCATTAATAGAAGCACCATCATGGAGCCCTGTAGCTCAGTGGTTAGACCACTCGCCTCGCAAGTGAAAGGACCTGGGTTCGATTCCCGGCAGGGTGAAACCTTGGGCAAGTTTCCTTACTCCACACGCCTGTTTACCCAACAGTAAGGAGGAACCCGGTTGTTAGCGGATTGGCAGATCACTTTTCCAGGGATGATAATCCCTTCAAAAAAATATATGAAATATAAATAAATAAAAATGTGGTCATTCGATCCAGGATTGTTTGTGGGACGCTGCTGTGTGCAATTGGCTGCTGTGTTTGGCCCACAAAATATCCGGTCACTTCACTTTACACTATATCCTGTAAAGCGTTTGAGATGTAATAAGGCACTATATCGAAAACAAGGATTTGTAGGATTTCAGGATCCTCTCACTGGTCTTCAAACCCCTCCACTCCCTGGCACCTCCCTACCTCTCCGACCTGCTTACTCCCAACCCACTATCCACTGCTTCTGCTTGACTGGCTACGGACTTCTGTTTGCCCCTCGTCCCCTCTGCTCCACACCGGTGGCCGTTCTTTCAGCCATTACGCCCCAAAACTCTGTCAGTCTCTCCCTCAATCCCTCTGCCTGGTCCCCTCCTTTCCCTCTTTTAATAATAATAGTAATCCTTGCATTTGATACGGCGCCTTATCACATCTTCGAGACGTCTCAATGCGCTTCACAGGATATAACAACAACAACAAATGACATTTACACAGCGCCTTTCACGTCAGGAGGACGTCCCAAGGCACTGGACAGACAGAGATTCGCACCCGATCTGGCTTGGATCAGGAGGGGTGGAGGGCAGGGAGGATAGAGGTCGGAAGGTGACCGAAGGCACGGTCGAAACGGAGGGCCTTCAGATGGGTCTTAACATAACATAACATGCAGGAGCAGGAGTAGGCCATTCAGCCCTTCGAGCCTGCCCCGCCATTCAATCATGGCTGATCTTCTAATCTAACTCCAGCTAATAACCTGACGCTGCCTTATCCCCATATCCCTTAATCCCTTTTGCAATAAGAAATCTATCTATCTCAGTCTTGAATATGTTCAAGGACTGAGCATCAACAGCCCTTTGGGATAGTGAGTTCCATACATTCACTGCCCTTTGAGTGAAGAAGTTCTTCCTCAACTCAGTGCGAAAGGGCTGCCTCTGATTTTAAGGTTGTGACCCCTGGTTTTAGTTTCTCCAACCAGGGAAACAATCTCCCACTATCTACTCTATCATGCCGTTTGATGATCTTACAGGTTTCTATAAGATCCCCTCTAATTCTTCTATTTTCTAAGAGAATATAGGCCCAAATTGGTCAGCCTCTCCTCGTAACTCAACCCCTTCATCCCTGGTACTAACCTATCTATGTCTCGCTGCATTTTTTTAATGTCGTCCTCTGTGTTGACACTTTCTCCTAGTTTTGTGTCATCCACGAATTTAGATATATTAACTTTGATGTCCTCATCTAGATCGTTGATGTAGATGGACTGATCCTTGTGGCACTCCACTAGTCACATCCCGCCAATCTGAAAAGGACCCGTTTATCCCTACTCTTTGTTTCCTACCCATTAACTATTCCCCAATCCATGTTAAGATGCTCCCCCAATTCCGTGGGCCTTTATCTTTTGGACTAACCTTTTATGCGGCACCTTATCAAATGCCTTCTGGAAGTCTAAATAGACCATATCCACTGATTCACCCTTATCTAGTTTACTGGAAATATCCTCAAAAAACTCTATGAGATTTGTCAAACATGACTTCCCTTTTGTAAAGCCATGTTGACTTGGCCTAATTATATTGTGCCCTAAATACCGCACTACCACATCCTTAATCAACGATTCTAAAATTTTCCTATCACTGATGTGAGACTAACTGGCCTATAGTTCCCCATCTTTTCCTTTCCACCTTTTTTAAATAGTGGTGTGACATTTGCGATCTTCCAATCCATGGGGACTGTTCCAGAATCCAAGGAATTTTGGAAGATCAGACATAAGGCCTCCACTATCTCATAAGCTCCCTCTTTTAAAACCCTGGGATGCAAGCCATCCGGACCAGGGGATTTGTCACTTTTTAGTGCTAACAGTTTCCCAGCACCAATTCTCTACTAATGAAAATTTCCCTAAGTTGCTCCCTGTCCTTATCCCTTTGGTGCATCTCTATTGTTGGCAGACTTGTTGTGTCTTCTAGGGTGAAGACAGATGCAAAGTACCCATTTAGGGACTCTGCCATGTCCTTATCCCCCATTACAACTTCTCCCGTCTCTGACTGAAGTGGACCTACATTTACCCTCACTAGCCTATTCCTCTTAATATATTTGTAAAAACTTTTACAATCAGACTTAATGTTCCTAGCTAGCTTACCCTCATACTCCTTTTTCTCGCTCTTAATGAGTTTTTTAGTTTTTTTTGCTGGTTTCTAAAACTCTCCCAATCTTCAGATTTGCTGCTTTTCTTGGCAGTTTTATAAGCTTTTTCTTTTAATTTGATGCTTTCCCTAACTGCTCTAGTTAGCCACGGATGAATTGCTTTCCCTGTGGTACTCTTATTCCGCAAGGGAATATGCGACCGCTGAGAATTTTGCACTACATCCTTAAATATTTGCCACTGTTGGTCTACATTTTTACCTCTTAATCTTATTCTCCAGTCTATTTTACCTAAATCTTTCCTCATACCTACAAAATTAGCCCTATTTAAATTCAAATACTTGCCTCGAATTTAATTATATCCCTCTCTAACTTAATGCAGAATTCAATCATATTGTGATCACTCTGCCCTAGAGGATTCTTACTACCTACACTGCCAACTCGCCCTGTTCTGTTACACAAAACAAGGTCTAGGATGGCCGGTCCACTAGTTGGTTCCTTGACATGCTGCTCTAGAAAGTTATCTCTCGTACACTCAATGACCTTCTTCTGACCTACTTTTGTCGATTTGGTTTTCCCAATCTATGTGGAGATTGAAATCACCCACTATTATCGCTTTACCTTTCCTACATGCTCCTTGAAGGAGGCGAGAGACTGGCTGAGGCAGAGGGACTGTGGGATGTCCTCCTGATGTGGAAGGTGCTGTACAAATGTAATTTTGTTGTTGTTGTTGTTTGTCAGGAGCGTGTAGATGTTGGAGAGGAAAGGGAGGTTGGAGATGGGGCGATAGCTGGAGAGTAGGGATGGGTCCAGGGAAGATTTATGGAGAATATACTGTAAAGTGAATTGACTGTATATTTTGTGGGTGAAACGCGGGAGCCAATTGCGCACAGCAGCGTCCTACAAACAGTCGTGGGTTGAGTGACCCAAATTTTTTTTTTTTTTTAATTTTAAAAGAGTGATCCACCGATCGACTAACAACCGGGTTCCTACTCACTGCTGGGTAACCAGAGCGCGTGGAGTAAGGAAACTTAGCTAAGGTTTCGCCCTGCCTGGAAAGCGAATCAAACCCGGGTCCTCTCGCTTGCGAGGTGAGTGCTCTAACCACTACGGTACAGGACTCCCTAGATCACGCCTGAAGACGGTGCTTACGGTTGCCTCCCATCTCACTCCCCCCCACCCCCCCGGCCCAGCGTCCGGCTCGCCACTGTTGAGCTCCGAGACAATGAGTTGATAGTCACTGACCTGGGTGTAGGTTGGGCTGATGTTTGAGTCCCTTCCGTGGAAGATATAAACACATCCTCTGCCTCCATTCTCCAAAGGGGCTCCGACCGCTACATCTGTCAATCCATCACCGTTCACATCCCGAATCCCTGCGATAGAACTTCCAAACCTCCCGAACTCATGGCCTTTCTCGCCTGTCAGATGTCCGATCTCCGTCTTCTGCTCACCAGGAAGAGAGCGAAAAGACTCACTAATCACCATTCAACCATCGTGTCTCGCTCCCCCCGCCCCCCAAACACACTGGCGCTCTCTCCTCTAACCCCATTCCCCTGCTCTTTCCCCCCCATTGTGTCGAACAGAGAGGGAATCAGCCTTCTCCCCATCCCCACCCATCCCCCACCACCAACAGCGCCGCGGCACATCTATAATGTCCGCCTGAACAGGGCATTGACAGGGAGCCGGGCTGACCCACAGTGACTGAGCCAGGCTGACACACAGCGACTGAGCCAGGCTGACACACAGCGACTGAGCCAGGCTGACACACAGCGACTGAGCCAGGCTGACACACAGCGACTGAGCCAGGATGACACACAGCGACTGAGCCGGGCTGACACACAGTGACTGAGCCAGGCTGACACACAGCGACTGAGCCAGGATGACACACAGCGACTGAGCCAGGCTGACACATAGTGACTGAGCCAGGCTGACAGACAGCGACTGAGCCAGGCTGACAGACAGCGACTGAGCCAGGCTGACACACAGCGACTGAGCCAGGATGACACACAGCGGCTGAGCCACGCTGACACACAGTGACTGAGCCGGGCTGACACACAGCGACTGAGCCGGGCTGACACAGAGCGACTGAGCCAGGATGACACAGAGCGACTGAGCCAGGATGACACAGAGCGACTGAGCCAGGATGACACAGAGCGACTGAGCCGGGCTGACACAGAGCGACTGAGCCAGGATGACACACAGCGACTGAGCCGGGCTGACACACATACACAGACAATGTTACCAGTTGGGTAGGCTGGTGAATGTGGACGATGCCACCTTGGTTCTGGTTGAGGTATAATGGAGCTCCGATCAGCAGCAGGTCAGTCCGGCCATCGGAGTTCAGGTCCACAGAACACAGCTCAGCTCCAAAATAAGAACCGATCTGAGGAGAGCAGCGTAACGTCAGTCACGAGAGAGAGAGACTGATTGAGAGAGACTGAGAGAGAGAGAGAGAGAGTCAGAGAGATAGAGCGTTGGAGGGACAGAAAAAGAGAGAGACTGAGAGAGAGATAGAGAGTGAGACTGAGAGAGAAAGAGAGACTGAGAGTGAGAGAGAGTGACTGAGAGAGAGAGAGAGGGACTAAGAGAGAGACTGAGAATGAGAGAGACTGAGAGGGAGATAGAGAAGAGTATTCAAGATCTGACCTGGATTCCCTCAATCTCGTTTTGAGGATTTTGGCGTGCCAACGAGAAAATAAAGACTTTTCCTCTGTGTTTGTATCGTGGAGCTCCCACAGCGTAGAGAGAGCCAGCGCTGAACTTTATCTCTTTGACTGAATATCCTGACACAAACAAACAAGAACCGAAGAGTCGGACGTAACGACGACAAGTTGATGGTCTTATAACTTTGTCACGACGTCTCAAAACGCTTCGCAAGACACACTGCAAAGCGTAGTGACTGTGCATTTCGTGGGCAGCCAATTGTGCACAGTGACGTCCTCGAAAACAGCCATGGAGCCAAGTGATCTTATTTGGGGGATTGGCGGCCAGGACACCGGGGGTGGGGGGAGAGAGAGAGAGAGAAACTCCCTTCTCTCCCCGCCCCAACCCCAACCCCTGACAGTGCCGCGGGAGACCTTTAAATCTCCCCTGAACAGGGCACGGACTGGGAGTGAGATTTAACGTCTCCATCGGAATGACAGCATCTCCAACAATGCGGCTGTGTCAGCCCGGCTCAGTCGCTGTGTGTCAGCCCGGCTCAGTCGCTGTGTGTCAGCCCGGCTCAGTCGCTGTGTGTCAGCCCGGCTCAGTCGCTGTGTGTCAGCCCGGCTCAGTCGCTGTGTGTCAGCCCGGCTCAGTCGCTGTGTGTCAGCCCGGCTCAGTCGCTGTGTGTCAGCCCGGCTCAGTCGCTGTGTGTCAGCCTGGCTCAGTCGCTGTGTGTCAGCCCGGCTCAGTCGCTGTGTGTCAGCCTGGCTCAGTACAATTGTTTAGTAATAAAAACATGAATAGATTCCAAAACAGCAACCTGCTTCAGATGGGGCAGTGTCTTAGAGTGATTCACATGGGATGGATCGAGGTGTGAGAGGGAGATGGGGAGAGACTTGGGGAGTCAGGGGATAGATTGAAGTGTGAAAAAGGATGGAAATAATTAATGTTTTACCTAAATAGGCATTCGTCATTTCTCTTTTCTCTCTTTCTGACTGCCTTAGGAAGCCTTGACTGCTGCCGCGATACACAGAGACTTCTCCCGACCAATCATAAGAGCCGACAGATCCTAACAAGATGGTATTCTGGAAGATAAGCATGTGAGAGGGTTTCAGTCAAACGGCAAATATACAATCCTGTAGTGGTTAGAGCACTGGCTTTGCAAATGAGATGACCTGGGTTTGATTCCCGGGCAGGGTGAAACGTTGGGCAAGTTTCCTTACTTCACACGTACGCAATGACTGAGCCAGGCTGACACACAGTGACTGAGCCAGGCTGACACACAGCGATTGAGCCGGGCTGACACACAGCGACTGAGCCAGGCTGACACGCAGCCACTGAGCCGGGCTGACACGCAGCCACTGAGCCGGGCTGACACACAGCGACTGAGCCGGGCTGACACGCAGCGACTGAGCCAGAGTGTCACATGAGCGAAATAGATGGTATGTTTGGGAAGAGTCACCAGACACATGTTTGTGAGAGCAGGAGGGATTCAGACTCTGTGTGAGACACTCACTCTTGCCAACACAGCACTGAAGCCTTCCTGAGACATCTCTTGTTCAAAAGAGCTTTGGTCACCTGTTCCCTGAGTGCCTGAAAGAGAGACAAAGAGGTTGAGAGAGACAGAGAGGGCTAGAGAGAGAGAGTCAAAGAGAGACAGAGATAGAGAGAAACAGACAGAGAGCGAGACTGAAAGAGACAGAGAGACTGAGAGAGAAACAGAGAGGACGAGAGAGAGAGAGAGAGAAAAAGACAGAGAGGCACAAACACACAGAAAGAAACAATACAATACAAATGACATTTACACAGTGCCTTTCACGTCAGGAGGACGTCCCAAGGTGTTGGACAGTCAGGGATTTGGACCCCAGCTGTTGGTTGGGGGGGGGGGTTAAGGGCACAGAGGGTGGGGTAGGAGGGTGGTCGAAGGCGTGGTCGAGGAGGACGATCTTGAGACGGGCTTTGAAGGAGGCGAGGGAGGAAGCGAGGTAAAGGGAAGATGGGATGGAGTTCCAAAGGGTGGGGGCAGAGATACTGAAGGGCCGACCGCCAATGGAGGGGCAGGCCGGGTCAGGGATGTGGAGCAGCCCGGAGCCTGGCAGATCTGTTGAGGGGAGTGTGTGTGTGTCTGTGTGAGTGTGTGTAAGAATGTGTGTCAGTGTATGAGTCTGTGTATGTGAGTGTGTGTTAGTATGTATGTGAGTGTGTGTGTTTGAGTGTATGAGTGCGTGAGTGCGTGTGTATGTGAGTGAATCTGTGTGTGTATGTGTGAGTGTGTCCCTGAGTGAGTGTGAGTTTGTGTGTGTGTGAGTGAGGGTGTGTGACTATGTGTGTGTTTGAGGGTGTGAGTGTGTATGTGTATGAGGGTATGTCTGTGTGTGTTAGTGTATCCCTGTGTGTGATTGAGTGTGAGTTTGTGTGTGTGTATGTGAGAATGTGTTTGTGTGTGAGTATATGTGAGTGTGTGAGTGTGTGTGAGTATGTGTTGAGTGTGTGTGATTCTCTCCGCGCTCAGAAAGCCAGGAGGTAGGAACATGAGGAACAAACCCTCGATAGCAAAGATCCTGTTCTCCAGTTCGTTCTGAATGCCATCCAGAGCGCTGAAATCACTCACAGCAAACACGTGCTCAGGCGACGAGGCGATGGTTTTAAGTTCGATCTTTGCCCGGCTATTTGCAAAAGCACGTCCCACCTTCAGAGACAAAATAATTACTCCACCAACCACAAAATCCAGCTGCTCCAAAACTCCGCCGCCAGCATACTCGCCCACACTACTACTAATCCTTGCATTTGATACAGGGCCTCATCGAGTCTTCTGGACATTTCAAAGCACTTCACAGGATATAAACAGTGTAATGACTGTATATTTTGTGGGCGAAAAGCGGCAGCCAATTGCCCACAAAAGTGTCCCACAAACAGTCGTAGATTGAGTGAACAGAAACCGCCCTGGTCAAGGTCACTAATGACATCTTGACCATCTGCGACCAGGGCTCCCTCTGCCTCCTCGTCCTATCGGCCGCATTCGATACGGTCGACCACTCTATCCTCCTCCACCGCTTGTCCTTCCACCTCAACCTTCAAGGCCCTGTCCTTGAGTGGTTTAGGTCCTACCACTCCCACGTCTTCATTTTGTTTCCACAAACGGCTTTTCCTCCCCCCCCCGCACTATCTCGTGTGGTGTCCCTCAGGGCTCTGTCCTCGATCCCCTCCTCTTCACCCTCTATATGCTCCCCCTGTGGTGACATCATCCGCAGACATGGGGTTAACTTCCACATCTATGCGGATGACCCCCAACTGTACCTTTCCTCCTCTATCCTCAACTCCACGACCCCCGATGTCCTGACAGCTGTCTGTCCGACATCGAGTCCTGGACGAGAGACAACTTTCTTCAGCTCAACGTGCGTAAAACTGAGGCCCTCCTGATTGGCTCACGTCAGCGCCTCCGCACCTCAGGCGCTGACACCATCAGCATCCAAGGCCGCACTCTCCACCTCTCAAAGCCATCAGGAACCTCGGGGTACTGGTCGACCCTGAGCTGTCCTTTCTCCCTCATATCCGCGCAACAACTGGCACCGCCTTCCACCACCTCCGAAACATCGCCAGACTACGGCACTACCTCACCCCTCACGCGGCTGAACTCTGGTCCACGCCTTTATCACCTCAAGGCTGGACTATGGGAACTCTCTCCTCGCCGGCCTTCCCGGCCCTCCCTCCACACTGCAGGTCATTCAGAACTCTGCAGCTCGTGTACTGTCCCGCACCAGACACCGCGACCACATCACTCCCACCCTCGCTCCCCTCCACTGGCTCCCCATCCCCCAGAGGATCGAATTCAAGATCCTCATCCTCACCTACAAGGCCATTCACGGCCTCGCTCCCTCCTACCTCTCTGACCTACTATCACCCTATTACCTGCCCGTACCCTCCGTTCCTCTGGCTCCGGTCTGCTCCACATCCCCCGCCCCAACCGCCCTACCATCGGTGGCCGGGCCTTCAGCCTCTCAGCCCCTAGGCTCTGGAACTCCATCCCCCAGTGCCTTCGCCGCTTCCTCCCTTTCCTCCTTCAAGGCTGGTCTCAAGAGCTTTCTCTTCGACCGTTCCTTCAGCTCCCCTCTCGACTCTCTACCCCCTCCTCGCTCCCTCCCTTCCCTCCCCTCACCCTGACTATTTCCCCCCTGCTCGGGTCCTGACCCAACTGTCCAGTGCCTTGGGACGTCCTCCCGACGTGAAAGCGCTCTATAAATGAAATCTTGTTGTTTTTGTACCAAATTATTATTATTTGGGAGGGATTATTACTCCCCGAAAAGCCATCTCTCTGTGAATGATTAGTTTGTGAGCTCACCCCAACAGCATAGCGTTTGATGTTTTTTCGATTGGCAGCTTGGACAGCCCTATCGGCATGGGATCCTCTGTCTTGAGATTCTCCGTCAGTGATGGTGATCAGTATCCGTGTGGCTCCAGGGCGCCCTCCCTTATTCTTCTCAAACATAGTGTTACTGCAAAAAACAGCCCAAAATGCTCACAGTCCTGACATTCCTCACAAGAGCACAATCCCAGCTCTAATCCATCTCCCTCTCACACCTCAATCCATCCCCTGACTCCCCAAGTCTCTATCCATCTCTCTCTCGCGCCTCAATCCGTCCTGACCTCGGTAGTAAGGAGATCAATTGAGGTGTGAGAGGGAGATGGATAGAGACTTGGGGAGTACAGGGATTGAAGAGGAAAGATCAGGGGAATGGGGTTAGAGTAGAGAGCTCCAGTGTAGAGGGAGAGAGCACCAGTATAGACATGATGGGGGGAAGGAAGGAAAGGCCATGGGAATGGAGATCAACTTACGCTGAATATTCCAAGGCTGTGAATGTTCGTGTCCCGCCCCCTGCTTGAGAGATTTGATTCACAAGATTCTGTTTGTCCGGAGCATTTATATAGTCTGTGAATGAAAACTGTGGGTAAACTCGTCTGGAGTATTGCGTAACTGAAAACTGGAGAGAAAAAAGTCATTTAGAGAGAATATTAACAAGGACAGTCATTAGAATAACTGTTAGCATTTAAATATGACGAACAGGAGAGTACTGAGATGACAAAAGTGTACGAGAAAGGGAGGTGAGGAGTGTAGCGTCTAGGAGGAAGGGAAGAGTGAGTGAGGTAACAACAGGACACATGATATACCTGAGCATTTTTATCACCGAACTTCCTCATCAACGCGATGATGAATTGCTTCATTTTGTTGAAATCAACACTTCCGACACTGCCTGAACCATCGATGAGGAAGCCAATATCGATGGGACTCTTTGGGCACTCTACAGCAAGGGTAAGACCATAATAATATAATAATAATAATTCTTGCATATGACACAGCGCCTGATCACATCTTCCAGACATCTCAAAGCGCTTCACAGAATATACTGTAAAGTGAATTGACTGTGTATTTTGTGGGCGAAACACGGCAGCCAATTGCACACAGCAGCGTCCCACAAACAGTCGTGGATTGAGTGACCAAATTATTATTGTTTTTTTTTTGAGGGATTTTTATCCCCAGAAAAGCGATCCACCAATCGACTAACAACCGGGTTCTTACGTACTCCTGGGTAAACAGAGGCGTGGGGAGTAAGGAAACTTGCCCAACATTTCGCCCTGCCTGGGAATCGAACCCAAGTCTCTCGAAGCGAGTGCCCTAAATGCTGAGCTACAGGGCTCTACAATCTAGTTCACCTTCCACCATCCCGGCAGTCGCTTGACATGTCGTGTCCCAAACTATACACTATATCCTCAGATATTATTATCTAGGAGAAATCTATCTGATGTAAAATAATTTTAATACATCAGAAAACTGTCCAGTTTATAGTTATGGTCATTTCAGGCCACTAAACATCAATAGGCAATGCAATGGGAAGAGGGAAAGAGCAGGGGAATGGAGTTAGAGTTGAAAGAGATGGAGAAAACACACACCAGGATCTTTTGACGGCCACTTTCCCATCTGTTCCAGCTTTCGATTGAACGTATAACACTGGCCTTTAACAAACGTGTTCGTTCCACATTCCATTGTTCGTCTCGGAGAACATGCCTGGGACAGACAGTGTAGAGGGAGCTTTACTGTGTCTCTTTCAACCGTGCCTTCAGTTCCCCTCTCGACTCTCTACCCCCTCCTCGCTCCCTCCCTTCCCTCTCCTCACCCTGACCATTTCCCCCTTGCTCGGGTCCCGACCCAACTGTCCAGCGCCTTGGGACGTCCTCCCGACGTGAAAGGCGCTCTATAAATGAAATCTTGATGTTGTTGTCTCTAACCCTGACCTGGGAGTGTGGACGCACAGTGTAGACGAGCTTTACTGTGTCTCTAACCCTGACCTGGGAGTGTGGACGCACAGTGTAGAGGAGCTTTACTGTGTCTCTAACTTTGACCTGGGAATGTGGACGCACAGTGTAGAGGAGCTTTACTTTGTCTCTAACCATGACCTGGGAGTGTGGACACACAGTGTAGAGGGAACTTTACTGTGTCTCTAACCCTGACCTGGGAGTGTGGACACACAGTGTAGAGGGAACTTTACTGTGTCTCTAACCCTGATCTGGGAGTGTGGACGCACAGTGTAGAGGGACGTTACCCACCAGCAATGCAGGATTTTCTTTGTTGTCAACAGCCAGTGATAGACCTATCGCTTCTTGTCCTTTGACGTCTGATGAAGCAAAACAGAGAGAATATGAGAACAAGAGAGAGAGAGAAAGAATGTGAGAGAGATAGAGAGAACTCTATAATGTGACAGAAGGAAAGGAGAATGTGTTGGGAGAGAAACTAAGAAAATGTGAGAGTGAGACAGTGAAAACGATAGAAGGTGAGAGTGAAAGAGAGAGAATGTGAGAGCAAAAGAGAGAAACAGAGAGAGTGAGAGAGAGAAAATGTTGTAGAAAGAGACTGTAAACTGTGGAAGAGCAAAGGGATTTGTATGTCCACATATACAAATCACTAAAAGTAAGTCACAGGTACAAAACGTTAATAAAAAGACTAATGGGAAGTTGCTCTTTATAGCTCAAGGGGGCTGGAATATAAAAGAGAGGAATTCATGCTTCAACGACATAGAGCCTTGGTTAGATCCCATCTGGAGACTGTTCAGTTTTGGGCTCTGCACTTCAGGAAGGATATATTGGCTCTGAGGGGGTGCAGCGCAGGGAATGATACCAGGGCTAAAAGGGTTAAATTGAGGACCAATTGCATAAACTTGGTCTCTATTCCCTTGAGTTTAGAAATTTGAGGCTGATCTGATTGAGGTGTTTAAAATAATAAAGGGATTTGATAGCGTAGCGACAGAGAAACTATTTCCTCTGGAGGACGAATCTAGAACAAGGGACGTCATCTTAAAATTAGAGCCGGGCCATTTAGGAGTGAAATCAGGGGCAGTTTTTCACCCAAAGGGCAGTGGGAATCTGGAACTCTCCCCCAAAAGACTGTGGATTATGTCTGGATCCATTCACATTGTCCAGACTGAGGTGGAGAGATGTTTGTCAGGTAGGGATCAAGGGATTTGGGGCAAAGGCGGGTAATTGGAGTTGAGGTACAGATCAGCCATGATCTAATAGAATGGCGGAACAGGCTTGAGAGGCTGAATGGCCAACTGCAGTTTCTATGTTTCTATGAGACAAATAGAGAATGAGAGAATATGAGAAAGAGAGAATGTGGGGGAGAGAGAGAGAGAGAGAGACAAAGAGGGAATGTGGGAGTGAGAGAGAAAAAGAGATGGTGAAAGAGACAGAGACAATGTGGGAGAGAGACAGAAGGTGAGAAAACAGAGAAAGAGACAGAGAGAGTGTGAGAAAGACAGGACGAGAGAGAGCGAGAGACTCAGAGGGAGAGAATAATATATTTTTCTCAGTGTAGAATTACCTCGGGTGGAGATTTTGTTACAGGTGGTTTGATACCCACACTTGTAGATTGCTCCAGGTGTGTTGCTGCCCTGTTTGTGTAGAGGAGCTCCCACAATTGTCCTGTGAAATAACACCACCAACAGCAACAACAAAATTTCATGTGTAAAGTGCCATTCATGTCAGGAAGACCTCCCAAAGCGTTGGATAGACAGAGTTACGGACCCGAGCTGGGAGTCGGGGAGGGTGGAGGGCAGGGGGAGAAGCAGAGAGATCGAAAGAGGAGGGTCTTGAGGTGGGTCTTGAAGGTGGCAAGGGAGGGGCGAGGCGGAGGGACTGTGGGATGGAGTTCCAGAGGGTGGGGGAAAAGTGTCAGAAGGCCCGCCCGCCAATAGTGGGGCGAGCGAGGCGGGGGACGTGAAGCAGGCCAGAGCCCGCTGAGTGGAGGAAGCAGGCAGGATGGTAGGGGGTTAGGAGGTTGCAGAGGTCGGGGGGAGCAAGACCATGGAGGGCTTTAAAGGTGAGGACCAGGATCTTGAACTGTATCCTCTGTGCGATGGGAAGCCAGTGGAGTCGGGCGAGGATGGGGGTGATAGGGTCACGGAGCCTGGTGCGGGAGAGGACACGGGCTGCAGAGTTCTGGATGATCTGCAGTCAATGGAGGGAGGAGTTGGAGAGGCCGACAAGCAATGAGTTTGCATAGTCGAGCCTCGATGTAATGAAGGCGTATATGAGGGTCTCGGGGGCTGCGGTGTGAGACACTGGCAGAGCCGGGCGATGTTGCGAAGGTGGGGGAAGGCAGAGCAGGTTATGGCGCAGATGTGGGGTAGAAAGGATAGAGGAGAAGCCGTTTGTGGAGATGAGGTGGAGGTGGTGTGAGAGGTACGATCTGAACGTTAAATAAGATTTAATGTGACATTGCCTCACACTCACACACAGGGCGCCGCTCATACAGCATGCACATCTCAGAGTTTCGCAACGCCTCATGCTCACACGGTGTTGAGAGATGTGAAAGGGTTAGGGAGGAAGGGAGAGTGACGTAGAGAGAAAGGAGAGCAGCAGGAAGGGGTTATGAGACCTCACCATTTCTCAGTTCCTGTGTCCAACTGAGACAAACTGTAGCCAAAGTGTGAGGCTTCCTCCCCTTTGAAAGAGTACGGGTTCTCGGTCTCGATATTAAAGCACAAAATGGCTGCCAATCCTGTCACAAACAGGGCAAGGGGAAGTTAGCCAAACACCTGTTTCACAACACAAACAACTTGCTCTCACCGCACCGAGAGGGAGCTTTACCGTGTCTCTAACCCTGACCTGGAAGGGGGAAGAGGCAGCTTTACTGTGTTGCTACATTCCTCTTTATGGTCTTCATAAAATCTTGACAGCGAGTTTCCATAATTACACACAATTACACATTACATTGTGTGTAATTATGGAAACTCGCTGTCACTCAGAGCTTGTTCACCACATCTACTTTTCAGAGTTTCACAACCATTCGCACTTTCAGTCCGTGCATTTAATGTAACGCCTGCTCACATGATCGAGGCATCTCAAAGCGCTCCACAGAACATAACTCTCAAGTGCAGTGACTGTGTTTTGTGGGTGAAACGTGGCGGCAGCCAGTGTACGCACAGCGATGTCCCCGCAAACAGCTGTGAAGTGAGCGATTTTATTTGGGGGCTTGTTGGCCATGACACCGGGGGGGAGAGAGAAACTCCCTTCCCTCCCCACCCCACCTCCAGACACCGTCGTGGGAGATCTTTGACATCTGCTCGAACAGAGCACGGTCTCGGGGGTGAGGTTTAACATCTCATCTCAAGGACGGCATCTCAGACAATGCGGCGCTCTCTCTCTCCCCAGTGCTGCTCTGGAGCTTCAGCTTAGACTGTGTGATTCCAAGTCCCTGACGTTTGGGGGGTTCGAACCCACAACTTTCTAATTTGGAGGCGAGAGCTACCAGTGAGCCAGGCTGACACACTTTTTTGAGCAGTGACAAAAAGGTTATTCTCAAAATAATAATCATAATAATAATAATTCTTCCGTTTGATATAGTTCTTTTCACTTCTTCGAGACGTCTCAAAGCGCTTCACAAAATATACTGTGAAGTGAATTGACTGTATATTTTGTGGCGAAACGCGGCAGCCAATTGCGCACAGCAGCGTCTCACAAACAGTCGTGGATTGAGGGACCAAATTATTATTATTTTTTTTCTTGAGGGATTATTAAAATAATACATCAACAACAATACATCCACTGGTGGGTGTGTCGGTGACTCGAGGTCACAGATTCAAAATAGTCTCTAAAAGAAGCCGAAACTCTCTTCCCCCTCCTCGCTCCCTCCCTTCCCTCCCCTCACCCTGACCATTTCCCCCCTCCTCGCTCCCTCCCTTCCCTCCCCTCACCCTGACCATTTCCCTCCTGCTCGGGTCATGACCCAACTGTGCAGCGCCTTGGGACGTCCTCCTGACGTGAAAGGCGCTTTATAAATGGAATCTTGTTGTTGTTGTTGTTGTTGAGGGGAGCTGAGAAGACATTTTCTCACGCAGCGAGTTGTTCGAATCTGGAAGGCATTGCCTGAAAGGGCGGTGGAGGCCGATTCGATAACTACTTTTAAAAACGCGGTGGGTATTTGAGGAGGACGGGTTTGTAGGGTTATGGGGAAAGGGCTGGGGAGTGGGATTGACATTAATTGCTCTATTCAAAGAGCCGGTACAAACTCGATGGGCCGAATGGCCTCTTTTTGTGCTGTACGATTCTGTGATTCTATGACAATAAAAAAATGACATGTGTAAAGCACTTCTTTCACGTCGGGAGGACGTCCCAAGGCCCTAAACAGACAGAGTTATGAACCCGAGCTGGGGGTCGGGGTGGTGGAGGGTGGAGGGCAGGGGGGGGATGTAGGGAGATCGCAAGAGGAGGGTCTTGAGGTGGGTCTTGAAGGTGGCAAGGGAGGGGGTGAGGCAGAGGGACTGCGAGATGGAGTTCCAGAGGGGTGGGCGCAGAGTGGCCCGCCAATAGTGGGACGAGCGAGACAGGGGATTTGAAGCTGGCTGGAGCCCGCTGAGCGGAGGGAGTGAACAGGATGGTAGGAAGTTAGGAGGTCGCAGATGTAGGGGGAGCAAGACCATGGAGGGCTTTGAAGGTGAGGACCAGGATCTTGAACTGTATCCCCTGTGTGATGGGAAGCCAATGGAGTTGGTGAGGATGGGGGGTGATAGGGTCACGGAGCCGGTGGGGGCGAGGATGGGGGTGATAGGGTCACGGAGCCTGGTACGGGAGAGGACACGGGTTGCAGAGTTCAGGATGATCTGCAGTCTGTGGAGGGAGGAGTTGGGGGAGCCCGACAAGCAGTGAGTTTGTATAGTCGAGCCTCGATGTAATGAAAGCGTGCATAATATATGTATAATCATAATAATGTTTAATCATAATAATAATCATAATAATAATCCTTGCTTTTGATATAGCGCCGTATCACATCTTTGAGACGTCTCAAAGCGCTTCACAGAATATAATAATAAATAATAATAAGCCTGGCATTTGATATAGCGCCTTATCACGTCTTCGAGAGGTCTCAAAGCTCTTCACAGAATATACTGTAAAGTGTAGCCACCGTATATTTTGTGGGAAAAATGCGGCAGCCAATTGCGCACAGCAGCGTCCCACAAACAGTTGCCACTTTTTTTTATTTATTAATTAATTAAGAATTATTACTCCCGGAAATGCGACCTGCCAATTGACTAACCACCGGGTTCTACTTACAGGTAGGTAAACAGAGGCGTGTGGTGTCAGGAAATTTGCCTGAGGTTTCGCACTGCCTGGAAACAAGCCCAGATCCTCTCACCTGTGAGGCGAGCGCTCGAACCACTGAGCTACAGGACTCCACAAACAGGTTATTTCTCAAAAGTAGGAGAAATTAAAAGGCTTTTAACTCACCGGAAAGCCAGAGGAGAGTGGGAGGCAGCACGAGCATTGTGGAGGGAGTTCAGTCTTGGCCGTTTCCAAATGAGAGGCTGAAAAAAATCAGCAATGAAAGGGTTCCAGCCTTTCTGACAGTCAATTTGCTCACTCACCACCTTCCTGTGACTCATTAATGCATCCACCCACTAACTATTTCATCCACTGACTGGTCTACTTCTGTGTCTCTCTCTCTTTCTGCCTGTCTCTCAGGGAGATAAGGCGCTATATTAAATGCAAGGATTATTATTATAATTATTTTTATTATTATTATCTGCTCGCTGTCACTCACTTCCTCTCTCTGACCTTCAGGGAGATATCTGCCCACTGTCGGTCCTCTCCTACCCGCTTAATTCTCGAGCACACATGGTTTCAACCGCCTTATTTTTGGGGGCAAAATAATAAGATCATAAAACATAAGAATTAGGAGCAGGAGTAGGCCATTCGGCCCCTCGAGCCCGTGCCCCGCCATTCGATACGATCATAGCTGATCTTCTGACCTAACTCTAATTACCTGCCCTATCCCCATATCCCCTAATTCCTCTTTTTTTTAAAAATCTATCAGTCTCAGCCTTGAAAATGTTCACGGACTGAGCATCTACAGCCTTCTGGGCAGTGAATTTCATAAGTTCACTACCCTCTGAGTGAAGAAATGTTTCCTCAATTCTGTTCTAAAAGGCTGACCCTTAATTTTCAGACTGTGACCCCTGGTTATAGATTCTCCTACCGGGGAAAATGGACCGTCGGTGTCTACTTTATCAGCCCTTTAAGAATCTTATAAGTTTCAATAAGATTTCTCCCCTAATTCTTCTGTACTCTGGAGAATACAGCCTTAGTTTATTCAGCCTATCCTCATAGGTCAGTCCCCTCATCCCAGGAACTAACCGAATGAATCTACGCTGCACCCCCTCGAGGGCAAGTATGTCCTTTTTTAAATAAGGAAACCACAACTGCACATAATACTCCAGGTGCGGTCTCACCAAAGCCCTATACAGTTGCAGCAAGACTTCCCTACTCTTGTACTCTTAAACTTTTTCCAATGAATGCTAACATACCTACCATTCGCCTTCTTAGTTGCTGCTTAACCTGCAGCAAGAAATTCTGTTTGAGAAATTTTGCACAGAGACGAAGGAAGTTTGGGAATTGTTTAAGGTGTGTGTGTGTTTCTATGTGCATTGGTTTGTGTGTGTGCGTGTGGTTTGTGTAGTGTATGGGTTTCTGTGAGCGTTGGTTTGTATGTATGATGTGCGAGTGTGGTGTGTGTGTTTGTTTCTGTGTGCATTGTTTTTTATGTTTGTGCGTATGTGTGCGTGAGTGGTGTGTGTTATCAGTTGTTTTTCTCTCCCTTACATGGTCACCCCAGTGTGCTATCTCTCAATCTCTCCCACTCAACCGTTTCCCTCATCAACAACAACAAATGACATTTACGCAGCGCCTTTCACATCAGGAGGACAACCCAAGGCGCTGTACAGTCAGGAATTTGGATCTGAGCTGTGGGCTGGGATGTGGAGGGGAGGGAGGGTGGGGGGTAGGAGGGTGACCAAAGGCGTGGTTGAAGAGAAGGGTCTTGAGATGGGCTTTGAAGGAGGCGAGGGGAAGGGACTGTGAGATGGAGCTCCAAAGGGTGGGGGCAGAGAGGCTGAAGGCCTGACCGCCGATGGTGGGGTGGGCCGGGCGTGGGACGTAGAGCAGGCCGGAGCCTACTGAGCGGAGGGAGCAGACGGGATGATATGGCGTCAGCAAAAGATCTTTTCCGAATCCACCCTAAAAAGCACACTTTGTACAATGTGTCAGACTGATTCAGTCGCTCATGCTCTCGCCTCTGAATCAGGTTGTGGTTTGGAGCTCTCCACATGTGGTGGAGTCTAAACTCCAACACAGGAATGGGGGTGGGTGAGCGAGAGAGAGAGAGAGAGAGAGACGCATTGTCAGAGAGGATGAGAGATAAACCTTGTGCCCTGTTCAGGCGGACGTTAACTTCTCCCCCTGTACTATTGGAAAAGAGAAGGGAGTTTCTCTCCCGATGTCTTGGCCTCAACTAAAATTGCTCGCTCACTCGATGACTGTTTGTGGTACGACATCCTGTCCAAATTGCCTGGTGCTTTGTGTCCACAAAACTCACAAAGTGCTCCTTACAGTGAATCCTGTGTGAAGTGCGTTGAGCCATCTCGATGAGGTCATAAGATGCTGTGCAGTCCTGTAGCTCAGTGTTAGAGCGCTCGCCTCGCAAACGAGAGGACCTGGGTTCGATTCCTGGACAGGGCGAAATGTTGGGCAAGTTTCCTTACTCCACACGCCTCTGATTGCCCAGCAGTAAGTAGGGACCTGGTTGTTAGTCGATTATAATAATAATTTGGTCATTCAATCCACGACTGTTTGTGGGACACTGCTGTGTGCAATTGGCTGCTGCGTGCCTGCCTGTCTGTTTGTCTGTCTATTGCAATTGGCTGCTGTGTTTCACCAACAAAATGCACCATCACTAGACTTTACAATATATTCTGTGAAGTGCTTTGAGACATCTTGGAGACGTGATCAGGCGCTATATCAAACACAAGGATTATTATTCTTTCTTCCTCTCTCTCTCTCTCTCTCTTCCTTTCTTTCTCTCTCGCTTTCTCGCCATCTCACATTCCTGTGTACTGTTTTTTTCACCAGACTCGAGTAGGAGTTTGTCAAATCACTGCTCGCAAATTGTTCCTCTAACATTGTTCCTCTAACCATCCTTGCTCTCTCTCTCTCTCTCTCCTTCTCCCTCTCTCTCCCTCTCTCTGGCTCAGTGTCAAACTTTGCCACTGTTAAGCGCTCTGAGACACTGCCCCGCGTGAAGAGCGCTGTATAAATCAAACTTATTATAATTACAACTTCATAAATACAACTTGCATTTAAATTGAGTAGTGCCCTTCACATCGGTGCACTTAAAGGAGAATAGCGAGAGAGAGAGAGAGAGAGACAGACAGACTGAATGGGAGAGTAAGTGAAAGAGCGAGAGAGACTGAAAGAGAGTGAGACATAACATAACATGTAGGAGCAGGAGGAGGCCATTCAGCCCTTCGAGCCTCCTCGCCATTCAATCATGACTGATCTTCCAATCTAACTCCAGCTAATAACCTGAGGCTGCCTTATCCCCATATCCCTTAGTCCCATTTGCAATAAGAAATCTATCTATCTCAGTCTTGAATATGTTCAAGGACTGAGCGTCAACAGCCCTTTGGTGTTAGGGTTTGGGGTTCCATACATTCACCGCCCTTCTTCTTCCTCAACTCAGTGCGAAAGGGCTGACCTCTGATTTTAAGGTTGTGACCCTTGGTTTTAGTTTCTCCAACCAGGGAAACAATCTCCCACTATCTACTCTTCATGCCCTTTGATGATCTTATAGGTTTCTATAAGATCCCCTCTAATTCTTCTATATTCTAGAGAATATAGACCCAAATTGGTCAGCCTCTCCTTGTAACTCATCCCCTTCATTCCTGATACTAACCTAGTAAATCTACACTGCACCCCTCCAATGTAAGTGCATCTTTTCTTAAATAAGGAGACTGCGAGAGACAGACAGACTCAGAGAGAGAGAGAGAGAGACTAAAAGAGAGAAAGACTGAAAAAGCAAGACTGAGAGAGAGAGAGAGAGAGAGACTGAGGGAAAGAGACAGACAGACAGAGAAAGAGAGAGAAAAAACAGAAAGTCAAAAACAGGAACCGGAGAATGTACAGAATATAATGGACAGAAATACACTTTTCAAATGTCAGAATGTGAGAAATTAGGCTGAGCTGTGAACACATTTTCACATCTTATCGTTCAAACAAATTCACACGTTCAGCAGCAACACACCACAGCACCAGCGATTTCGCTTCGAAAAGGTCCGCAAAATATACAGTGTATTATAATAATCCTTGCATTTAATATAGCACTTTTCATGTTTTCTTGACATCTCAAAGCACTTCACAGAATATACTATAAAGTGAATTGACTGTATATTTGTGGGCGAAACGCAGCAGTTGCACACAGCAGCGTCCACAAACAGTCGTGGATTGAAAATGACCAATTTATTATTGTTTTGTTTTGGAGGATTATTAGGCCTACTGAGTAAGGAAACTTGCCCAACTTTGAAAAAGTCGCAAGCACTTGCGAAGTGTGACAAATAAGATTGGTGAGCTGCGGCTCAAGTTGCCACATGGGTTATGATGTAGTGGCAATAACGGAGACCTGACTCACACAAGGACAGGAATGGGAGCTGAATATTCCTGGCTGCAATGTATTCAGGAGGGATAGGGAAAGAAGAAAAGGAGGGGGTTTGGCAATATTGATTAAGGACAGGGTTATAGCCCTGGAACGGGACCATGTGCTGGAGGGCCCCAAAAAAGAATCTATTTGGTTAGAGTTAAATAGCAGAAAAGGAGCTGTTACTCTGTTAGGCGTATACTATAGACCACCAAATAGTGGGAAGCAGATACACAAGCAAATCTGCAAGCAGATTCCAGAAAGATGCAAAACCAATAGAGTTGTGATAATGGGGGACTTCAATTATCCAAACATAGACTAGGAAAATAACAGTGTAAAGCGAAAGGAAGGGGAAGGATTCCTGAAGTGTGTGCAGGATAACTTTCTGGTTATGTTTCCAGCCCAACGAGGAAGGAAGCAGTGCTGGATCTAGTCCTAAGGAATGAAATGGGGCATGTGGAGCAGGTTTCAGTATGAGAGCATCTGGACAACAGTGATCACAACATCATTAGGTTTAGAGTACTTATGGAAAGGGACAAGGATCAGTCAAAGGTGAAGATACTTAACTGGAAGAGGGCTAGTTTCAGTGAGTGAAAAAGGGACCTAGCCAAGGTGGACTGGAAAGAAAGATTGGCAGGTAAAGAGATAGTTCAGGGACAGAACAAATAGATTCCCACAAATACATCCCCGGATAAATAAGGAAATTGGGATTAATATAAAACAGAAAAAGGAGGTTTATGATAAATGTCAGGTCCAAAACTCAGAAGATATTCAAATAGAATATAGAAAGAACAGAGGAGAACTGAAAAAGGAAATGAAAGGGGAAAAGAGATTTTATGAGAAAAGATTAGCGGGTAACACAAAAGGGAACCCTAAGGTATTTTATAAGCATATCAAGAGTAAAAGGTTAGTCAAAGTTAGGGTGGGTCCAATTAGGGACCAAAGAGGAGGATGCAGCCAATGCCACAGTATAGAAGGAGAGGGTAGAAAAATTGGGTAAGATATGAATAAACTGAAAGGGGGTACTAAAAAGGTTGACAGAGCTCAAGGTAGATAAGTCACCCGGTCTAGACAACAACAGCAGCAACTTGGATTTATATAGCGCTCTCCACCCTGGATGGCGTCTCAGAGCGTTTCACAATAATAGATCCCGGGGCCGAGCCAGGGGAGGGGGAGGAAGGTGACCAAAGGCGCTGTTGAAAAGGAAGGTCTTCAGCCGAGACCTGAAAGTAGGAAGCAAGGGGTCGAGGCGAAGGGAGTGAGGAAGGGAGTTCCAGAGCCTCGGGGCATAGTGGCTGAAGGCATGGCCGCCGATGGTGGAGCAGAAGATCCGGAGGATTTGGGGGACAAGGAGGAGGCCAGATCCGGTGGAGCGAAGGCAACAGGCACTGTTGTGAGGAGAGAGGAGGTCGGAGAAATTGGAGGGTGCAGAGGAGTGGAGGGATTTGAAAATAAGAGTGAGGATCTTGAAATCCTTGAAATCTTGAAATCGGACTGGATGCATCCTCAGTTACTGAGGGAAGTAAGGGTGGAAATAATGGAGGCTCTGGCCACAGTCTTTCAATCCTCCTTGGACACCGGGGTGGTGCCAGAGGACTGGAGGGTTACAAATGTTACTCCTCTGTACAAAAAGGGGCAGAAAGATAAACCCGGGAACTACAAGCCAGTCAGCCTAACGTCAGTAGTGAGGAAACCTCTGGAGACTATAACCAGGACTGACATGTGGCAGATGAAATTTAATGTGGAGAAATGGGAAGTGATGCAGTTTGGGAGGAAAAATGAGGAGAGGCAATATAAGCTGATGGTACAGTCTTAAAGGGGTTATGGAACAGAGAGACCTGGGGGTTCATATAAGTAA